CAGATCAATAAACCATTCTAGTAAGTTCAAAGGTTTACGGTTTCAGCTGGGTAGTAAAACTGAATAATGTGTTCAATACAGACTTTTTTGAAAGAAACTCTTTCTTGTTGGCTCGCTTGTATTTGGTAATGTAGATTTTTTCTTAAACAATTGTATTGAAATTGTTTCGTTAGGGAAGTTCGTTAGCCATGCACAACTCGTTTTTGAGAACAATGCAATTACAGGGGATCCCTCACGGGATAACTTTTACAAGGACAATTCAAATTTTAAAAATCTACATTAACATAAACATTTTAAGTTGAATGACAGAAGGATCAAAAACAAACACAAAAAGAGTAGAGGAAAAAAAAACAACAAGAGAAATAGGTAATTATGTACATCACACACGGAAAAAAATCATTTCTATATTCAAGAACAATCCTACACTTAAAATTTTACACTTTCTTTAAGGATAATATTCTTTCCATGAATACAACAAATATTTGGAACTATTTTACTTTTACACTTGCTTTTTAAATATAGTTATAGTCACTTTATGTAATTTTGAATCTAAAAAAAAGAATAAAATGAGTTATATTTAAGAAAAACTTATATTACTATCAAGTGAATAAATCCTTTAGCAACGAAGAAACTATTATTAAATGAAGTATAAATGCTTTTATATAATAATAAGTAGTATTCTTAACTTTTTTAAAACTTTTACTTGATATCGGTGTATTAAGACTTTAAATAAGTATATTATTCTCGGCGCGAGAATAACACCCCATTTCCAAGAGTTACTATACTTATATTAAGTGACCATCCCCAACAGCAACAACGCAACAATGCATTCCTATTTCCTATCTTCATTTGGTTTCTGTTTCTCCTCTGCGACACGAGACGTTTTTTTGTTTGTTATCGTTTGTGCTTGTGATATGTTAAAATGGAGGACCTTCTTCAGGCATGGGAGATGACGGATTTGATCCCAAAATTTCAAGGTAATTTTAGCAATAATCCTGCATTATTTGATGACATTGGTTTGAGGTTAGGGAGACTCCATTTTAATATGCATTATTTCTTATACATTGGTGGTAAACTAGGTATATACGCGTTTGGAATGATTCAATTATGTTTTAACAATTTTTATTATCGTTTCTCGTTTTCAATTAGCGATGCCGCTGTTCAATATCTACCTATATTGGGAAATTACACAGTTTTATTGTATTTTCTTATTACGAAAAGCATATAGTTTGGTAGATGATGTTTGGCTAATCTAATTTAAAAAGTATTAACCATATTCGGGGTTATTCTGGTGATATTTCAATATTCCATACCTATTGCAAATGGAAATTAATATTTTTAGCATGTTCCAACTCTATTACATTCATGTATGTTACCGGGCAAATCCGATTTTAGGATAAACTAGTTTTTCTTAGGACGAATATTAACCGGGATCGAAAAACTATACAGTTCTCACAAAATTCGGTAACGTGTTTCCTATGCTTTCGGAGGTTCAGGTTCGATCTTGTTAGAAACTCTTATTTTGGTAAAATCTTTTCTTAATTTCCATTTACAATAGGTATGGAATTTTGAAATATCACCAGAATAACCCCGAATATGGTTAATACTTTTTAAATTAGATTAGCCAAACATCACCTACCAAATTATATGCTTTTCGTAATAAGAAAATACAATAAAACTGTGTAATTTCCCAATACAGGTAGATATTGGACAGTGGCATTGCTAATTAAAAACGAGAGACAGTAATAAAAATTGTTAAAACATAATTGAATCATTCCAAACGTGTACATACCTAGTTTACCACCAGTGTATAAGAAATAATGTATATTAAAATGGAGTCCCCTTAACCTCCAACCAATGTCCTCAAATAATGTAAGATTATTGCTAAACTTACCTTGAAATTTTGGGATCAAATCGCCATCTCCCATGCCTGAAGAAGGTCCTCCATTTTCACATATCACAAGCACAAACGATAACAAAAAAACTTTATAATTTTATAAACTACCTAGCCGGCGCATCTAGTAACTAACCTAAAAGTAAGAAGAGGCTTTATTTTATAGTAGGTGATATTACACTTGAAGTTCAAATAGCACAAAAAATTTCTATACTTAATACAATAATTTGCTAATTTACAAATAAGTATAAGTAGTACTCGAAACAAGATTTTATCTCGAATTGTCTGGAGTGTAGTTATAATCTTAATTTCAATACTAGGTAAATCTTAAATAAAAGATAAATTTTCTTAGCTTTTAAGGATAAGGTTCTTGAAAAGAAGTATAACTAGATTTGCGGAATGGGGAAACTAGCATATCGTTGGTTCAAGATTAATAATCTTTAAGCCAGTTTAGCTTTTTTTCCGTGCACTATCACAGTTGGATTAGAGTATCACAGTTGGTGGTATATATTAATATCTTTCATAAAGTTCAAAATATTTTTATTTTTTTCTTCTTCAGTTAAATTTTCAACGAATTTCACCACGTGTATGGAATCTACTTCTTTCTACCGTATATTGAGGACATTCACATATAATGTGAGTTACATTTGAGGCATTTCTCTTTTAAGCAGATATGCATGCTTCGTATATCCAATACGAAGACGATGCATTCTGGATTCATCCGCCCGTCCTAGTGCAAGACGTAAGGATGGGGTTGACGGGTCGCGTAATTACTATCTGTACTATTGTGCTATTGTGTAGAGACAACCTATCGCCGGTAGACTTTGTAATGGAGGACTACGCGTTTTTAAATATTTAAAACTATTCTAATGTACAGCGCAAGCAAGCTCTACATCTCAGTATTGGTAGTAAATGTGTAATTAGCCGTTTTTAAAAGCTTCTATACATACTATATTTGTTTTTTCCGCACGCGCTGCTCTGTTTACTGTTTACTTTCCATTAGGCAACATAACCTCTTAAATATTTTTAGAGTATTATTATCAGTATGGATAAATATCCAGATAATATTAAAGAAATCATAGATTCCGAGGATATAATGCAAAACTTTCAGCAGATGACAGAAAAGGCATAGCTAAATTAACTATGGGAGAGAATATTGATACATACAGTATTTTTCGAGAACATGATGGAAACTTCTTCTCCTGACAATGAAATGTCAAGTTTCAGTCAAGACAACGCCAAATTTCACCTTGGAATAGATGAAGTTCCATCATCAAACGCTATTCCCTTACAGACATCTTCCTTGACTGAAACGCAGGGGATCGATACCAAACGAGAAATGGCTATGCAAACATTGAGCGCTAATCTCTTGAATATAGTTCAAATAATGAAAAACGAAAACAGACCGGAAGCAACGAATATGATAATACTTTTAAATAACTGATTAGAGAGGATTAAAAGACCTGCCGAGGTCATGAATATATTTGCAAAAATGAAGAACATTCGTAGACCGAAGACAATAAAAGTGCAACCTACGTCATTAAGCCGAAGAGCTGAAAGGCCTGGATTGACATATGGGTCTAGAAGAATACAAGCTGGAAGGCCTGCCAAGAATGAAAGAACTATTAGAAAACGTAAACATGGAAGATCATTAGCAGATGCTGTATCTGCAAATAGAAATAATGCAAAATCACATTAATATTATTATTTTCTTTTATACACTCGCCTTTTATATAGACTTTTCTTGTTAATAATAAGGTGCAAAATAAAAATGTTAAACTGTTTTAAAACTAGTTTTTACACTAACAATTTATTGGTCAACTAGGGTGTACCAGCGACTTCGTTCGCGTCGAATTAATCATTTGTAATGGTGATGAAAAAGCAAAGCAAGAATCTCCATTAACATACAAACTAGATACAATTTTCTCACATTTATGTCAGCATGAGAAAAAACAATATGGCGATATTATTATATAACTTGGTAATATTTGAGGGGTAGTTTCATCTCGTTGGAATTTGACTTTCGAAAAATCCGTTTGCCAAAAATAAGCTTTTTACGTCAAGCAGTTTAAGCAGAATCGTGGTTAAGAAATTACCTAACTTTTTGGAACACCCTGTATGATTTTATAAAAAATTTCAAAATATGTAAAAAAAAACAAATAAATTATGCTTGTCTAAAGACTAATCGTTTTTTAAATAACAAATATTGCAATATTTGAGGGGCCTTTTCAACCTCTTGGAATTTGAGATTCGAGAAACCCCTCCTTATCGAACCTCTACACTCCAGAGTGATCCGTTTGCCAAAAATCAGCTTTAGACGTCAAGCAGTTTAAGTAGAATTGTGATTACTCAGTGGTCATATTTTATGAAATACCCTGTATAAATTTATAAAAAATCTTAAAATATGTACAACAACAAAATAAAATATACGTGTTTAAGAGTTTTTCCGAAAAACTCACCGGCTTTTAAATAAAAAATATTTTAATATTTGAGGGATAGTTTCACGCCCATAGAATTCGAGTTTCGAAAAATCCCTTCTTATCGAATCTCTACACCCTAAAGTCTATCTGTTTTCCATAAATCAGCTTTTTACGTCAAACGCTTTAAGCAGGATCGTGATTAATCAATGACCAGATTTTTCGAAACACCCTGTATACATTTTTAAAAAATCTTAAAATATGTAAAAAAACAAAATCAAATATACGTGTTTAAGCGTTTTTTCGGAAACTTGACGTTTTAAAACACATTTATTAACAGACTTTATTATTTTTTTGTACTCACATATATTACTAAAGTTTTAAAGTTACATTATCAAACAGGGTGAGTCTTAAAAAAGTGCAAATATTTTTAGGGGTACTATATTTTAGCCCCAGAAACAATTTATTGACGCACAGATTATGAGGGTTTTTTTGCGAAATTTTATTTTTCTCGAAAAATACGAATTTTTTGAAAATTTTTTTGGAATGCTTTTATTTTTTCGTTAAAAACATAATTTCAACATAGACAGTAGATTAAATTTACAAGAAAAAAAAACAGAAAAGATCCAGTATCCTTAATTTAAGCACAATTTTTTTTTGGAAATTTTCAAAGTAAAATAACTCGTTTATTTAGGACTTATTTGAAAAACGGTAAAGAGAAAATATGTTTTTTTTATCGAGATCTACCAGCCCTGAAAATATTTGCACTTATTTAAGACTCACCCTGTATATTATTTAGTTACTATATTCATCCATTATGCTACGTTCTAAAAATTATTCTCTCTTTACTTCTTCATTTTCGTTCTCTTCCTCTCCCGATTCGATTTCTATTTCTTCACCACTGACCTCATCCATACTGCAATAAACCCCATAAGCAATATCCTCACTGTTTCCGTCTCCTCCAAAGCAAATTTCTTCGCTCTCCTCACTTTCCTCACCTTGAGGAAACGAAATACTAGCCGAACTGGTGGTGTTATTCAGTTCTATGCTTTGATCTGTATTACAGCTGATCCTGGATGATGCGGTAGATTTATTGGACGAGAATGCACTGGGCGAACAGGAATAGTAGCTGACGTTGACAGTTTGCGAGTGAAGTTTCCTTGACGGTTTATTCGATGGTGTAGGTTCAGCTTCTATATTTTCCTCTGTGTTGCAACATGCGCACTTACTAAACGTCTCTATATCTTCGCATAATACAAGATTTTTATCATCTGGATCCAGTTGTCTACCGCACATTTTTTCGGGTGCTTTGAAATGCTTGTAGCACCATGTCATTACGCACATTAATAACAAGACTTTGGATATTATCGTTATTGCAAATATTGCTATCAATATGGTTGTTATTCGAACTCTCTTTTTGTTTACTGAGTTCCAGTCCCCCTGTTCGATGTTACACAGGTGACGTTGGGACACATTTGGTTCATACATACCTACGTAAATAAAAAAATTAATATAACAATAGCTTATACAGGGTTGTTCACCACATACGACACGGAGTATTGTAAATAAACGATTAGATTATTACAAATTGTAAGTTTTGGGTTCGTTGAAGGACTAATAGAGCTACAATTTAAAAATATTTTTAGAAGATACAGAGTGTCCCAAATAGGTAAAAAATATTATAGTTATATCTTTTTAAATGGAACACCCTGTATATTATTCTCTTTTTAGATTCTACGATTGAAATAAAGGTAAATTTGATTAAGGTTTATCACACCTAAACCTTACCGTTTTTGAAATATTTTCAATTTTATGAAATTGCAGTAAAAAATTTAAGGCTTTATTTCTCCAAGGGTATCAAAGTTTTTAATACTAAATATTTACTGAAGATTATTTATTGATCAGATATTGTGTTGCAATAATAAAAATTTTACTACCTTATACAGAGTGTCCAAAAATTTATATTAAATAATTACTAGCTCTAAACGGCAATAACTTGTTTAATTTAAATAGAACACCCTATATATTTTACGTGAATCAGATGCACAATGTAATTGTCTATCAAATTGTATTGTTCCATTTTTTACCCACATCTTCAAGTTTTCATAGAAAATGCATTTTCTTATAATTTAGACCTGATTTATCGCTATACCTATGGAATATTGACATTTTAGCTTATTTTTAAAGATATAACAAATTTTCAAAGGGTACAGATACTAATATTGTCGATATATCTAGTTCGCTTATTTAATTAAAAAATATAAAAAAAACTGTTTAAATATTTTTTGTTAAAGACGACCAATTAATATGATCCCAGTATTCAAACTACATTATTTGACTGTTTACGTTGTAGTAATAATTGCTCCAAATACTAAAAAACTGAATTTTGTGTGTGTATTAGACAGTGTGGTAAAAAGCAACACCTTATAGATTTTACTTCATTTATTAACGAATGCTTATTTATAAAAACACAGACATTCATTTTTATAACTTATTATTATATTGATTTCTGAGCCAAATCCACATTTATTTAGAATAATTTTTAATTAAATCGATTTATAAGTATGTAATTAACTAATTTTTGGTGTTTTTGGTAGGAAATAATAATTGGTATACTCTTTTATAAATATTTAAATAGTTTATTTTGTATGCCAATGGGCTTGCAATATTTACCACCTGTACATTTTGTACATATTATGGTGCTATAAAAAAATCTGAAATATCAATATTCCATGGGTATAGTGATAAATGAGGCCTAAATTATAAAAAAAAATGCATTTTCTACGAAAACTTGAAGAGATGGGTAAAAAATGGTATAATAAAATTTGATAGACAATTACATTGTGCATCTGATTTACGTAAAATATATAGGGTGTTCCATTTAAATTAAACAAGTTATTGCCGTTTAAAGCTAGTAATTATTTAATATAAATTTTTGGATACTCTGTATAAGGTAGTAAATTTTTTATTATTGCAACACAATATCTGATCAATAAATAATCTTCAATAAATATTTGATATTAAAAACTTTGATACCCTGGGAGAAATAAAGCCTTAAAATTTTTACTGCAATTTCATAAAATTGAAAATATTTCAAAAACGGTAAGGTTTAGGTGTGATAAACCTATCAAATTTACCTTTAATTCAATCGTAGAATCCAAAAATAGAATAATATACAGGGTGTTCCATTTAAAATAATATAACTATAACATTTTTTACTTATTTGGGACACTCTGTATCTTGTAAAAATATTTTTAAATTGTAGCTCTAATTGACCTTCAACGAACCCAGAACTTACAATTTGTGAAAATCTAATCGTTTAGCTACAATACTCCGTGTCGTATGTGGTGAACAACCCTGTATATAGAAAATTCGTGAGTATTGTGAAGTCTCAAAAAAGCAATTAATTATATTTTATAAGACGTTTTGCGACTTTATCATCGCTCCATTAGGCCTAGACATTTAGTATTTAAAATGTTTAGTGTCTGAAGAAAGATAATAAAGTCGCGAAACGTCGTATAAATATAATTGCTTTCTTGGGCCTTTCCAACATCTACTGGGAGGAATACAATATTCATAGCAAAATAGGTCATGTTTTTATAGTTCATATTATTTTCAGAGAAGAGTAATTCTTTCGAACATTTTTATAAACTTTAAAAATGGCTCCGTAAAAGTAAGGTAATTTATCCAAATTATATGGTATATTGCTTTTGGTAATAATTTCATTTGTAAATAGATATATCGAATTCATTATTCTAGGTGGTATTTTTGAGTTCCTGTAGCCCCAATTATGGCTATAAATCTTTTTTTCTTTTAAGTACACATTGCCTCAGTATTCGTCACCCCTTAAATGCAATTGTCCCAGTTTTCGTCATATTTAAATGAAATACTGTATTTATAGTAAACATGAAATCAATATGAACAATTGTTATTTTCAAGACTTTTTTACTCTAGTATATTTTTCGTGCACCCAGCTCTTACATTTCATGGACTAGATCATGCCCTCTTGAGAATATTGTTGAAGGTTTGTTTTCTGATTGTCTGTTAGTTGTTTGTGCCTTCAAAATTTTATTTTGACTTGCATCAGTTTCGTTTTAAGTTAAATATTAGTTTTTCTTCTTTAAGTTAAATCTCCTTTTTCGAAGGTTTCAATAATTATTTAAGTTCCGGAAAGATATAATGAGAGGCATGAAATTTATCTGTTATCCGTATATTATTATCAATTAAGATGTTTCCATCTGGTAGGCTTAAAACGGATTGGTGTCCCATTTTCATCGCGATTGGATAAACCATTATTAACAGATTCAATAGTTTTAAGCGTGTTATTTGCGGAGTATTTAAGTTTTTTTAACATGTCGTCACCCTAGAATAAGATTGTTCTATAGACCATTTTGATGAAACTGAGAAAACAAAGTTTAAAGTTTAAACTGGATATCCGTGAACACTATTTACCAAAATGATTCTATTAAACATATAAATTAAAGGTAATATAAAAACCTATCAAACATATGTATTTATTTTATTTTAGAAGCTTTATTTAAAAGATATTAGTGATTTTAGATTTGGATATAGAACAAATGTGTCTATTAGCTGTGAATTGAGCCAATTTTAGGGATATAGAACAAAATAAGGGGATATAAAATAAAATAATACTCATTTTAAGCTGATTTATTTGTATTTCAAAATATTATTTCAACACAAAATAACTGAAATTAGCGATGGGAACTATCGAATGAATTAGACTATCGAATGGTTACTGAATGACTGATTTCAACTATCGAATGGTTTTATTCGAATAAAATCATTCATTCATTTGTATACTAAAGCATATGTGACAACCTCGCCGTGCGACTAAATGGTTATCGTTCAGCCACGACTATCGAATGCTTTTGATAAATGAAAAATGAAATTTAGTATTCGTTTGATTTTTGTGCATTATTAGTTCTTCAAATTTTTATAACTTCACCTTATAAATACTGTGCTATTTTTGCGTTTATTAAAATATTTAAAATACTAAAATAGTAGTTTTTTTAATTGACGATTGTGTGCGTGTGCAGGTGTCAAAATTTTTCCGAAAATTTGTGTGATTTTCCGTAGCCCGATCTTTCAATTATTTTATTTTATATGGTATATATGGTCTATTTTTAATGGGAAATTTTGAGAAGTAGCAATTTTAAGAGAAATGAGATGAACTTGAAGTTTTACACGTGCCAATTTAAAAAAGTTAACGATGTTTGTATTTTGTTTATGCTAATTCTCTTACATGTAGTTTTTGCGAAGAAATATTTCATTTTTATTTTTAAAGTAAATGCCAGTAAAAGTAAATATTATTTTTAAATAATAATATAAAGTACCTAATATAAATAATTTTGATTTCTAATTTTTCATTTATATTTTCCTTCCATTACACTGCATGCTTAGAAAATTAATAAATGTTTATATTTCATGATTTTAAAGTTTGTTGTTAATATAACAAATTAGTTTTGTAATTATTATTATTTAATAAACCAACGATGCCAAAAAATTTAAAGACTATATTATTTTTAAATAGGATCTAATATAAATAATTTTGACATCTAATTTGTTGTTTATATTTTGCTACTACGTAAAAAAATGTTTATATTAAATTATTTTAAATTTTGTTGTTAATAGGTATAACAAATTATTACTGTTATTATTATTTTTATTAAACCAGTCTTTGTTTAAAAACATTAAAAATCATTTTCCTACATCCAAAATATTTTATTATCTAACCTAGTTCTATTGTTAGGTTAACAACAGAATATTAATAAAAAAAATGCAAAATATATAGACATACTATCCCTAACTAACTAAAGCCAAACAATAATATTCTTTGCTAATATCAACTAATACCAATATATGGCAACAGCGCCCTTCATAATGTATTTTCTGTGTAAATACTAGCACCTCAATAAAAAAAATAATGTGTCCTTATCTTTATATGACTCCGCAAAATATCAAAGATTCCGGCTTCTTTCTAGCATTGACACCGACCGCTGTCGGGTTTCTCGGAAAGAAACCTACGTCGCCGGGCGACAACTAAAATCCAGTTAATATTTTATTATAATCGATCCTGACGAATAAATGAATTTTATAAATGAATGGTTTTTGCTGCCGAATTACTAGAATACAATATTTCAAGGCAGATGACGCATCGATTCGATAATTTTTATTCGAATAGTTTTCAACGAATGTTTTTTTACTAGCTATCGAATTATTCGAATGAATTGCAACTATCGAATGTTTCGATAGTATTCATTCGATAGTTCCCACTACTAACTGAAATGGAGACATTAAGATATTAACTAAAAACAACATAAAAAAATAAAAACCTAAAATACAATAGTAGTAATTATTCGTCTGCATTGTTTATTAAAAACTATCATTTTGAGGGGGGGGCGAAGCTAATGTGGTTGTTAAGCAAGAAAAGTAATAATAAAATAATAACAGACTTACGAATATTCTACTATCGCAGTTACATATTATGTCTTTAGATCACTTTGTCAGATATCTATTCTATGAGACGTACGTCGTGACTCGTGACTGTGAACTGAGTCGTGCGAGCACGTCCACTAGTCGAGCCATCGCGACGCGCGACGACCCGCTCTGTGAAGTATTTTCTCGTTACCACAGGAATCACAATTACCTGTAACCTGTAATCGTCACGCTATAGCAAGTCACCGTTTATGCAAGTCACCGTTTATTTTCAAATCAGTCAGAGGTCGAGACTGTGATTATAGAATATCAGTGACAAAGTCACAGTTAGCAATATTTCACTCATCACTAATTAGTAGTATTCTTTCGTTCTGAACGAACTGAAAATTTTCACTTAAACTGATTTATTCCCTTTATGTGGTATAGGAAATAAATCAGTTTACGTGAAAATTTTCAGTTCGTTCAGAACGAAAGAATACTAATAACGGTTTATAAGATAGACCTTTGTGACAGACGGATGGACGGACGGATAGTGAAGTCTTAGTAATAGGGTTCCCTTTTTTACCCTTTGGGGGTACGGAACCCAAAAAAAAATAAAAAAAAAAAACGTATGTATTACATGATATATGTACAATAATAATAAATCGGTATATAAAATTTACTGTCCAACGTATTTCAACTTTAAACTCAAACAAAAGAAAATTCAAATAACAGCAAATAAATTTAATTATTTATAGATTAATTCGAAACGGCAATTTATATCAGCACTACACTCACAATCTGACGACGATTAGTTTTTATTAGACACGTTAAAAAACCTGCAAAACGAATAATCTGTCAATCATTATTTCTTCCCGATAGGCGACTCAACGACTGGCGAATTAGCTAAAACAATAACCGTACACAATATTACCAGATTTCCAATTGCCACTGCCTAATAGATTTTATGTGCCAAAATAATTTTACAGTCAAATAAAATATAAATGAAATCATTTGGAAACAAATAAAGATGACAGACAAGCAAATTTCTAATTTGCTGCATAATAGAAATCTTTCTAAAACACAGATATTTAAAATTGACCGTATAAAATAACATGGACTGTTTCTTACATAGTTCTGTAATAACATCGGAACTGGCAATACCGCATCAGCGGCATCGAGACATCGGGTGCATCCGTGCTGCGGTAACGCACTGCTTTTGCTTGTCCATATCCAAGAACAGTTAACCTAATAGGACTGCTCATTCAGCCAAAAGTGTCCGCCAGGTGCATGCGAAAACTACTCGCTTTGTGACGTCATTGTAGTCCTTGCCATGGTTATTAGTCCTTATACGGCAACCAATAATACACACACGTGCATTATTGGTTGCCGAATGCAAAACGTTCATTATATAGTTTATTTATTTAAACATCTTATATGTATGCAGTATAGAAAATTAACTGTATAAATCGTATTAAATACTCGGATAATGCATTTTTAATAACAGCAGTTCGCAGCATCACCTTTTGCAAACATTCTTTTTAGAGTACTTCCATATTTTGCTTTAAAATAATTAATAAACAAAATCGTGGGCACTTAGTATGCACTTTGTCACAATCCACAACACAAAATGAACATATTTATACACTATATAGCTCTAAAAACTTTAAAGACACCTTTTCACATTTAAAATTGACAACATAATTAACTCAAAATTCCTCAGCTGTTATTTTTATAAGTTTACCATAGGCAACTAATAATACACACTATCATGACAAGGCCACGAAGGCTTTGACAAGGACTACAATGACGTCACAACTGTCAGCTGAAGCGCGGGAAGAGGCTAACGTACGTCTTATGAGGATGAGCAATCCTATTAGTTTACCGTTCTTGGTCCATATCCATGTAATGTTAAGTTGCGGCCGTGCGTTCGATTTCGAATAATGGGATGCGTTTTTTAGGGAATAATGAGACGTTGAACAGGTGGCGTTTGTTTTGTATGATGTTTCCGGGTTTGCAACCGTAATAAACACAATACTAACTTACTATTTAGAAAAATAAAACAATGTAGGTCGCATTGTAGGATTTGTAGGTAGATATATAATGAAAATTGATCAGATAAATATATTTTTATCTTGCGTCTGTCTTGAATAAATGGAAGGGTAGGCAATGCTTTTTTGCCTATATGTAATGCACGCCACTGGTATGTAACTCATTTTACCCCAAAAGTGGATATACAACAACCTAATTCTAGGATGACGATATTATGTGATAATACCAGAAATCGTCACCCCCATGTCCCAGTATTCATCATCTCTAATTAACATATATTTTCTTTAAAATCCCGACACAAAATGGTATCACGGAGACTGGTACGCGTATTCTTACTGCTTAAAATAACACCATTAAAGATAAGTTTTAGACAAACTAACAAAACTAGTAATTTATACGCAAATATACTTTTTACTTCCATGTACATTAACCGTCATATGTATTATTAGGACACCACCACTTTTAGACCTAGTAATCGGCAAACGAAAATAAACTAAAAATATTCTTTAAATCTTGTACAATCGTTAAAGACAGCAAGTATAATATCCATACAGGTGATTTCATATAAAACATGCATAATTCAACATAATTTTGTACGTTTACTGATCTATCTTAACAGTTTGGATGTCTTAACATACACGTTAAAGAACTTTCACAGAACCAACATTGTCCCAATCACGTACCAAAAAGTAATGCAAAAACGAATTATGACAGCTATTACAAAATGCACTTGTTGCGAAATTGATTGTTGATTTTGATTTATTATTGTGCTCTATAAAAATTCCTTAATTTTTAACAAAAACTGGGACGTAACAAAGAAAGTGACGAACACTGGTACAGTGCCGATTACTGGTACACTACCTTAGTTCGTTAAAGTCTCGGTTAAAGTGGAAATGTTTTATAACCTTCTCATATACACACAACCAAACTTATATGGAATCATCTATTATTTTTCATAATTTTTGAGATGTATGAAAATTTTCTTTTTATGAATAAAACTCAATTCTTACCAATGACTTTTAATGAAAAATAATCCTTATAGAAATAAAAAAACATAGTCAGTTCCCAAAATAAACAAAATGGTATTTTTTTGGTTTCTGAAACAAAATTAAGATTTAAATTTTTAATGGCCAAAAAGCATAAATAAAAAGAAAATTGATAATTTTAATATTCCTTATTGCCACCTCTAGCCCTTATGCAAGCTTCTATCCGCGCTGGCATACTTCCTATTAAATTATCCACGTTGTCTTGGAGTATGTTTTCCCATTATGCTAATGCTGCATCAATAAGCTGTGCGGGATTTCCTGGATTGTTTCGACGAGCTCTAACCCTTCTTTTGAGCTAGTCCCACAAGTATTCGATAGGGTTTATATCTGGTAAATAGATAGGCCAGTCCAAAACTATGACATCTTCCGTTTCAATACATTCTTTAGTCACTCTGCTGGTATGGGGAGGTGCACTATCGTGCATGAAGTTAAAATTATCCCCATTGGTTCTAGCACCAAATAAACATATCTCCGACCCGTTAAAATTTGTTGAAGTGGTAACAATGGAGTTTTTGCTCCTAGTATAATACCTCCCCAGAACATTACAGTTCCCCCTTTATATCTTGGTACAGATTTGGCAGCCTGAAGTCTCGCTCGTCATCCTGGAGCTCTAAGAACCCGAATTCTCGATGGTTATCTGATCTTAGGCCAATTCTGGTCTCATCCGAAATAAGAACATTTTACCAATTCTCAGTTATCCAGTTTTGATGTTGAAGGCATAATTTAGCCGGTCAATTTTATTTTGCCGAGATAACTGTGGGATCCGTAACTCTCTCCTACTGTAAAACCCTCGTGCACGAAGCCTTTTTCTTATAGTTTCAACTGAAATGTTTACACTTGTAGCTGCCAGAAATTGTCTTTGTAGCTCTGGATGAGAAACATTGGGATTTATTCTAGCAGTTTAGCACACAAGGCGGTCTTGTTGTTCAGTTGTGACTCTTTGACGACTTTGTATGGACCTATCCTTGTGTGTTCCTAATTCCAAGTATCTTGCATATGTTTTCGATACAACACCCTGGGTAACACCTACTATCTCTGCTACGTCTCTCTGGAGCATTCCTTGTTCGGTGAAAGTAATAATTCTTCCCCTCTGTATATCTGTTAATCCAACATAAGGCATTTTTTATTTTTTTTTGGATTGAATAAAAATTACCGGACAATCGTGATTTTACTACTGAATACAAAATTCAAAAGAAAATAATTTGCAGCAGTCGTTTATTCTTTATTATCATGTTTATTTACAACAAAAAGCCTTATCTTAAAGTTGTATACCAATTTTTATCCTTGCAAGAAATTTAGTCAGAAATAAAGAATGATTCCATATAAGTTTGGTTGTGTGTAATATTTTCTTTGCAATTGTGAATAATTTTAAAATAGTGGATAATAAGTAAAACAGAAGCATACATTAAACCTAAAAGACGACGACAACAATAATTAAGAAAAGAATGAATTCGATTCGCGTAGATCTCTTATATGAGCAAACAAAATGACTGAAAAAAAAGTGTATAATAAAACTTAGTGCGCAATCCGCATTTATTTTCATTTAACATTACTACTAAAAATGGTTACATTTTGATCAAAAAAGGAAAAAGCAAAATTCGTGTATCTGGAGAGTTTACTAAATATCTTATTAAAGAATAATACTACGTTTTAAATACCTTCATCGCTAGTATCAGTAGTCCATCCATCACGACATACACAATCTCCATTTTCTGTAACACTTCCATAATGACAAATGGCATTTACTATCGTCATTTGATTTCCTAGTAATGATCTGGTAGTGCCTATTTCTTCTAAATCATTTTTCGAAATAGAATTATTTAAATCTATGCATTCGTTACTATAAGGAGAATACGCTTTTTCGGGAAATTCTCCATTAGATTTTGAGATGCACATTGGTACTTTCTGACAAAGATTATAATCCGAGCTGAAATAGCTAGCCCCTCCCGAATATTTTATTAAGCAGTCTACAGGATTGCAGTTTTGTTTATAATCCAAGTCAAACGTGAAACAAGTCTCTTTATGTGTGGATGCGCAATCTTTTCTAGTATCAAACGAGATATCTGTAGTGATTTCCTTTTTCTTAAACTGATTACGGTAGGTGATTAATACAGTGCATACCCCTCTTCTATTATATAAATATATGTTCGGGTATAATAAGGTTAAATTTTTAGTATAACCGGACGATAAAGTTCCCATATCACCTCCGATTAGAGTCATAGAGCTGCAGTCTGTCTCTCCAGAGCTCATTGTTTCACAACATTGGGCCATACTGACGGACAGTTCTAAATCGTCTTGGCAAATGTTTTTCACTGTTGCAAAAAATACCATAACAATATCGTCTTCTTCTATTGGAGCTGTTCCACTATCCAAAACTGATATCTCGGAATTTGTTGATAAAAAACATGCAAAAATATTTAAAATAAGGATGTAAAACTTCATAATATGATAAGTCTATCAATGTTTGATAGTTCAGTTTCAAATTGACAAACATGTCAAATATATGTAAATACAGGGTGTTTTTACAAGTCAAAAATAGGTCGCTTGTAAAGTTAGAAAATATTTATAATATAATTTACGTAGGAGTGGGTGTGGGGTTTGTTCTTACCCTTTCTGGACTTCTTGATTTTTGTGAAAGTAAAATGATAAAGCGCTTAGCAAAATATACGCACTCGAAATCTCATTTAAATCGGAATATCGGTTCTTAAAATATCCTAAAAAATGTGTTTATTTTTGAAGTGAAACTTCTTTAAGCGCGATGGGAGAAAAAATTCAAAGCCGTAGAATACGACATGACCTTGATGATGATGCGCATTACAGCGTTTTCACATGGAGCGGAGCGCCCGCGACTTCGATCAAGTACCATGAGTTTATATCACAGAACACACTAAAGAAGAACGCTAACTCTCATGCATTTTTTAGTTTCAAAACGGTTTCAAATTTGTAAAGAAATCTGTAATCTGTATATTGAAGTGGCGCCATCTAGCCACCCAGGAAAGTAACAAATGTGGCGGCAAATTTAAATAGATGCAATTTATTTTTAAGCAAGACGTATTGACTTGTTCGCCAGTTAGAGCCAATCAGATTTCTAAAAATAATGTGTAGTCATCTGATTGGTCCTAAGTTGGCAAACAAGTCAAATGGTAAAAAACAAGGATTTATATATAAAGGTTAAACCAGGTTAAACTATTGTAAAGTGTTAAATGGTTTGCTTATATCATTTTATGTGCATAAAAACCTACAATAAATAATTTATTTTAATTTACAGAAAATTATACCATGAAACATTTTACAGACAAATAAAACAACAGATTTAAAAGTATAATATTTATTATAGTACCAGATTTAAGAACACATAACAAATATCGTTGGAATACAAGAGAAAGTGACGTCCATTAGAAACAATGTTTTATTTACGTGTATTTTTTACATTATGGACTTGAACAATTGTGTAATATCACATTGTGGAATTTATGTACAAAAATATGGAGTTGATCAATATTTTTTTGTAAAAATATATGGCGTTGTAAATATTACATTGTTAAAAAATAAAATTCACAAACATTTGGACTTGGTTAGGTTACCTCACCTCACTTTCTCGGATTATTAAATAAAATTGTTAGATAAATCAAAGACCTTTAACTTAAACCTTACCTTTAATAAAGATCTTAAAAATCAAACACAAAACAAAGTTCAAAAAAATTCAAAAATACAAAATCACGATTGTAAAATAAAGATTGCAAAAAACACAGCCAAACAACCAGAAAACAGCGAAACGCACATCTCCGTTCAATTGCAAAACACAACTGAAGACAGCTGAAGAGGAAGGAGGAAGCCGGAAACGGAAAACTGATTTGACATACAGAACAATGACAGAACATAATTAATAGGCCTATTTAGGCAACTATAAAAACAATTTTGTACGCAATTGTTAGGCAACTAGAAAAATTAAAATAAAAATACGCCATCTAGCGCCCCAGGAAATTACTACCCCAAAAAAAGATCGTTCAAGGTCGTATATCTCAGTTGACTGGCCCTGGTTTATATGAACGATTTAGCGCCCTAGGAAAGCGCTGTTAGGTATTACATATTATATTGAAAATGTAGTTAGGAGGAAAGACGAACAGTGGAGGAGAAAGTCTCAGAGCGTGGATGATTAGTGTTTTTATAATTTAAGGGTAAGTATATTATATTAATTATGTTTATATGTAGTTTCTTTAAATATAAAGCCAACCCTCTTAGAGAACACAATCTCCATTTATTGTAATTATTTGCATTTTAATTTTAGCGATTTTTTTATGTAAACATAATTCTCCCATGATCTCTATATCAACATATCTCATTATTTATTCTTTCAGGCTATAGAGGACAAATTTAATAGAGGGCCGGAGTAGAGGACTCTATACATCCATATTCTCTAAGTTGGTAAGTGGACTGTTTTGATTTGATACCCTTCTCTTGCATTTTTTTTATTTTGTATCTAATGGCAATTTTGTTCCTATATTGGTTAGGCTCAGAATTCCAGTAAGGTTGTTCTAGACAAGGAAGAGATAGCAATGAGTATCTTACATAGGTACATAAGTTCTGGTTTGTGACTTTTTATTAACCTTTTTATAATAAATATAATTATAAACACGTGTTTTTGGTTAAATTTATTAATATTTACTAACGGTTTTGTGAATTTACAAAAGTAATTGTAAATTCACTATAATAAAATGTTTAAATTTGTTGTTACTCTACAGTAATAGTAGAAGACTGAAACTGAAATGGAAGTTTGCCGGTCACAATGTCAGACAAAAGGATGATCGATGGAACAAATGCATCGTGAACTGGAGGCCCTGGGAGAATAGAAGAAGTAGAGGAAGACCTCAGATGAGATGGGCGGACGATCTGAGGAAACATGCAGGCACAAGATGGATGAGCACGGCGACAGAGAGGGAAGAGTGGAAGAGATTGGGGAAGGTCTATGTCCAACGATGGACCAAAGAGGCTAAATAGATAGATAGATAATAGTAGAAGAAATCGGCGATTTTAAAATATTAATTTATAATGAAGTAAATTTACTATGAGACATTTTTTACATAAATTCACAAAAAATATTGGTGAATATAAAGATATATTATAACATATTTACATACATGCCACACAAATTAGCCATACCGCGATTTTACAAACGAATTGTAAAATTAAACAACGGATGGTAAATTTACTACAATAATCTGTGGCAAGAAATAACCATCAATATTGTTATTAAATTCACAAATTAATTTTTTCGGTGTGTGTTAATTACGAAGACGTTTATTAACACCTTAATTTTGTTCTATTAAGTTGAGTTAACGTCTCTAATTTTTTTTCAGATAAATTTGATCAAAGTTCGATCACTAAACCTTTTTTAGCTATTTATAACTTTAAAAAAAGGTGTCCCGTGGCGTAGAGGTACAGGCTTTCGTCTACCAATCTCAAGGTTGAGGGTTCGAATCCCACACCCGGCATTTCATCAGCCGACTATTTTTATTAAAATAAAAATAGTTTGGGTACCTAGGCCGACTCAGCCTTAAATGAGTACTTGGGATTCACAATCCTGAGGTAATAAGCGGTTGGGAAACACTACGGTTGAAGCGTAGTGCTAGCCACATTGCTTTCCTTGTATACCGAACGGCTCTAGCATGGCAAGCTGTACCTTGATACTCCCAAGGCGTTAAACGCTATATACGGGAGCTATTATTATAACTTTAAACCTTTGAATAAAAAGATTAAGAAAGGAGCATTTCAAAAATCTTAGATCCACCCCTATGGGACTCAAATATGGCCGACTTAAATTCCGGTTTATCAGTGCCGTTCTAATTTTATTTAAAAAGTGTAAAACTATGATGTAGGGTAGACGTGGGGTAGACTCAATAATTTGTTGTTTTATTTTACGTTGTGAATAAATGTTGGTAGTTATTAAAATTGTTATAAAATATATAATTCTAATAAAAATAGATAAGTTATAATAATTATTTATTAACACAAACATCCGATACGCTACTAAGGCAGGTAAGTCAAATTGACGTGTCTAAATTCTTTGACATCTAATCTTTGACAAGTAGTAAATAAAAGCACAAATGCAATAAAACATATATATAATTAGTTAATTTAAGTGAATTGCATAAATGATCGGTTTACTATACGTACAGTACGTCTGTCCGTTCTGTAGCTAAGGGGTATCCGTGAGAGGGGAAACGATATTCTCTCGATGTTTTTCGTAAAAAAATAGACGACGCGTCACATCAATAAAAACTCAACAAATTTGCAAGTAGCCAATAAAATGAGTGGGCGGAGCGATTTGCGGTGACGCACTCGTCAAATCGACGTATAAAATATATTGCTGTTTATTTAAATGTTTTTTGTCCGCATTCCTTTCATAGACACAGATCCACCAGATGTACAGTTCGTCTGCTGGATCTGTGTCTATGAAAGGAATGCGGACAAAAAACATTTAAATAAACAGCAATATATTTTATACGTCGACTTGACGAGTACGTCACCGCAAATCGCTCCGCCCACTCATTTTATGGGCTACTTGCAAATTTGTCGAATTTTTATTGATGGGACGCGTCGTCTAATTTTTTACGAAAAATATCGAGAGAATATCGTTTCCCCTCTCACAGATACCCCGTAGCCACAGAACGGACAGACGTACTGTACTGTATGTATTGTTTATAGTCACTTACTAGCGAAAAGTTATTCCATTATTTCACACGATTTTTGACCGAAATCTACCGCACGCTACACAACCAATTCTTTTACAGTCTTTTTCGATAAATAGCAATAGTGTCACTGTTAATTTAAGTTCTGCCACAATTTCCATCTAGATCTACTATCTTTATACAACTATCAGTAGTAGAATAAATAATAAATAGCATAAAATTAGCTCAGTAAAGACTGACAAATTCACAAAATTTCAAATCAAATTCAAATATGTCAAATCAATCGTCAAACAGAACTGTCAAGGATCCCCACCCTAGAGTCCTTTTCCGCCCACCATGCATGAATACATGGATAGCATTATGCTCCTTCCTTAATATTTTTATTCAAAGCTTTAAACTAAAAACCTAACCTAACCTAACAGACAGATCTACCACTGTCAAAAATGTTATCGTTGGACCGACCATACCTTCTTTTTGGATGCCTCTAAAGTTAAATATAAATAATTTTATCGTCTGGACAACTTCTTAGAGATCTAACGAGATATATTTCCGGCAGACTATCGTACAAATTATATTCCTCACGTACCTTGCAACCCTTTATCGTCATTCAAACCCGAAAACAATAAATTTCCCTCGAGAGATCTGCCCGCATTATGACTCCGGCTTGACTCACTCGTATGGATAATGAGAACCTATTATTTGGCCCGTGAAAATCTCGGATTTGATACTAACTTCGGTCGTCTTCTTCATGAGGCGACAACAACAGGCAAATTTACTCTCGTTGGTTTTACGTTTATATGCGTTGTTCCGGAAAATAGTTTGACCTATTTTATGCAGGTACATACGTTGGTATCGTTTGTAAAACGGCCAAAGTTCAAGTACCTGACTTAATTTGTTTTCCTGGAGTTAATCAGCCTGATTTAAATATTTTAAGATCTAATAATTACACTCACCGGCACAAAAAATGGATAACTTAAAATTTGGATATATTTTAAAGTTTAAATATATTTTGTCCACGGCCACTTAATAATAAGTCAATATTCTACTTCCTAGCTGAAGAAATATGGTGCCCATATTTATAATAGAGTGAAATATAACAGCTGATAACAGTGAATTATGATAAATCACACTTTGCATTTACTTTAAATTTGTTGCTCTGGCAACGTGACACTCACAACGTCCTGATGCGCGGCGTGGATGATTTGACGTTTTTCTTATCTTTTCTTTTTATTAATTTTGTAGGTAGTGATAAGGTAATTTGGGGTAATATGGCAAACTTTCAGCTTTTTATTCCAGTATTTTAACCTGAATGTGCAAAAAAAAGTATTCTCATACCAAAACTTTTATTTATCATCAAATAACATAAACAAATACTCTAAACAAAAACAAATATAAACGAACTGCTAAAAATAGTTTTTTTTAATTAAATAAAAACGGGCCTTATTTTCGCCGCTTATAGTAATACGGCCCATGTGAAAATAATATGGCGAAAAATTGGCCCATACTATGGAGAGCAGTTTGGACATTCAAACTCGTCTCTGTCTTTAGCAGTAAGACCTACACAATCTTCGTGTACCCACTTTTTACATGTCGAGCATTGCCGCATATCTTCAACACGAGCCACTCCACACACAATACACATCCAGCTGGATAAGTCTTCGACGTTTTCTGTTTTCTTTGTGCTTCTAGGCTTGGAAGATTGAAGGATTCGTTGGCTGGATGACTTTTCCGAAAATAAGTCTCTCTTCAGAACCTGAGCTTTATAGTTTACTGCTTTTCGTCTTGGAGTTAGTTGTTTTTTATGCTAAAATCTGGAGTTGGCAAAAGATTTGTCATTTTTTTTGAAATTTCATCTTGTCCAGTGACAGAATGATAAGAGATCTGAGAATAAGGCTGAATAACCAAATTTGAAGTTTGCTGACCGGTAGGTTGAGTAGCAGGCTGATTAGATGACCAAGCGTCAGTTGAAGTGGCTAGTTGAGTAACAGGCAGACTGGTGAGATTGAGTATTTTTCCAAAATTCTCTTTTTTGATCGATCTTAAATTGGTAGGATTATCTTTCCAATATCGCAAAAGTTCGGAGTCCCAGTAATGTTCAAATGCTCTGAAAACAGCTTTATCAAGAGGCTGTAATTCATGAGTGGTGTTGGATGGCAGGCAGTATAATGACATTTCAAAATTCTCAGCTGCATCTACGATAGAAATATCGAGATGACACGATGCGCCATCTAGGATCAATAGAATTCTACCAGCTGGCTTAAATTTTGAAAAATGGTGTAGCCACTGAACAAAAATTTCTCTGTTCATGCTGCCCTTCTCGGCCATGGCAACTGCAGAACCAGGTGGCAGATGTTCCTTGTAGCTTTCTTTCAGTCTCGAGCCCATAAAAATTATGAGCGGCGGTACAGCATGACCCAGAGCGCTGACACAAGCCACTATAGTGCAATTTTCCGCATGCTCATTGGAAATCAAATGAACACGACGAGATCCTTTTTTTGCCAAAACTCTTTGACCGTGATGCAGCGTCAGCCTGCAGCCCTTCTCATCAATATTAAAAATTCGTTCTGGAGAGTTTTTAATATCCAGTGCCCTCAGAATATTTTCTAATTTATTGAAATGATCTATAGTAATGAACGGATTTAATTTTTGGGCCCGTGCAGGATTTAAATTTTGTGATCTCCTTTGCGACAGGATCGGATTCCTTATGAGGAATGATTTATACCAATCGTATCCAGCCATTTCTCTTTCGTTGTGAAATTTGTGAGGGATATTATTGTCAACGCAGTACCTGTAGACCAGTCTTCTCAACGATTTAGGAACAAGTGGTACACCGAGCTCTGCTAACCGCAAAATGCGAGAAACAAGAGCCCGCTCTTCCTTTTTTACTGAGTAAACTTCTTCTGCCCAATTTTCTTGAAGAACTTCCAGTTTTTAAGTGATTCCCGAAGTGTTGTTCGAGGAATACCACACTTTTTCTCCACATCTCTTTGTGATATTCCTTTACTTAGTAGATCTAAAGATTCACAGATCGCAGCATCAATAAAATTCAAATACATATATAGCGATAAATAAAACACAAACTACCAACCTTAGTTACATAAAATAACAAAAAGTCAGCTGCTGGTGGGACGATCTATCAATTTTCAACAAATTTATTTTACTAAAGGCTGTAGAAAAAAATACTAATATACAGGTATGTCGTAAAACACATCTAATAATAAACTTCCCAAATATTTGAAAATAGAATAGTTCGAGATGACTGCGACTCTCCATGCATAGAAACGATATGATATTGACGTTTTTATTATCTTTTAGTTAATTTTGACGTTTGAAATTGCCAAATTTTAAGTAGTTAGTGACATTTTCCTCTAAAACATGAATACAATAATTAATAGTAAGATTAACATTAAAAATACAAATTCAAACACTCCTCATAATTATTATAATGGCCGTGGACAAAATATAGTATTCAACTCGCAATTTATAGCCATTATTCACTCGGGTGATTTGTGCCCCTCGCCTACGGCTCGTGACGCAAACGTCACCCTGCGTGAATTATGGCTAGCATAAATTGCTCGTTCAATAATATACTATTGTTCTAGTGGGCCGATTTTGATGATTTTTTGAGCAATATGTAGTTAAATTATTTGAGTTTTTAGTATCTCTTTCTTAATTAAAATTAAAAGTTTCCATCTGTCAATTATACGAGGTAAAACAAAATGTTGATATTTTGGTAAAAGTTTGAAATACCCTGTGGAATATGTTAACACAGCAAGGAATTTAAAAACCACTTTATCATCTAGGTACGCCTTTTCTTGATAGTTTCTTTTTGGATTCATTTCAATAGCTTTATTTGTATTGGAGATATTCGCTTTTGAATTAGACAGTAACGATTTACAGCAATTTTAGCATTGATTTTGGGTTTATAAATTTAGATTGGAAAGCCCGTCAAAATTTTGGGTTGCGAAATTGTTTTGAATCGTGACCGTTGTACGCGATCTGCTACTGCAATAGCTGTTGCTAAGAACAACCGCCAAATAATAACAGAAATAATTTTCTCTCGTCAAAGTCAGAATCTTCAAAAATTATAAAATCTTTCAAAATTTAAACTGCCCTCATTGAAAAAATAATGAAAAGCATTTAAAGCCTCCATTCTCAAGGTAATTATTGCTATCTTGCCAGTTTAATTTAAATTTTATTTATTCAAACCCGTGATAATTGTGAAAAAGTGGCATTAAAAACAAAAAAGCTGTGCTGTGAACTGCAAAAATCATTATGCATCGTGGCATGACGTCGGTTTCCAATGTTTCATAGGTATTTCATACATCGCACATCCCGTGCAAAAGGGTATTAACTAAAAAAAAACAGATTTCTTTTTTTGCAAATAAGTATGGGAAATGATGGCATCTACCTCCCAACAAAACCGTAGTAAAGTTATTTTAGAAATTTATCTAGCTAGGTGGCGCAAAATCTTTCTTGCCCGGAACGCGTTAGAACAAGATTTCCCTCAAAGACAGTAGTATTCTGTGTTGGTACTTGGTGCGCACTTCGCTTCCGATCAAAACTGTATCATCTCTGAATTGTAAGTACTCTAATGATGTAATTAATAGTATTTTCCGTTCAAAAAAAGCATTATCTGGAAATATCACTCATTTGTTTTCAAATCAATATTGATAAAATTCGAAAAGTTCCGAGCAAAATGGTATACGGAATTACTACCATTTTGCAAGGGAATTCATAATTATTTTTTAAAGTAACTCCAAGCAGTACTGTATTATTTCGAGTTAACACCATTTTGAAGGAAAAAATGATCACAAAATAATGTAAATGGCAACAACAAAACTGTTGTATTTTAAATTACAACATTATTGCAAGATAAACAATGGTTTTGCGCCTTTGCAATAAATATTTCTGGTAGTCATGATTTACATTTCCTTCTCTTTCATCACAAAAAAGAAAATACAAAAATATTTCCAACATTTTATGGGTACAAATACAGACTTAAATGCTAAACAATTAAATCCTTGAAATTTTTTAGATAATGAATTTTTTGAAAACAAGAACCCAAAAAATCATTGAAGCTGCAAAAACCCAAGATAAAGTTCCTAATCCCAATGAGGACACTTCTAGTTTATGTGCTGCCAATGATATCTCTTACAATGAAAATTTTAATGGGAGTACTAATAATTTGCTTGAACATTTTTCCGAAGAAAAGGAAATTATTGAGTGAGAACTAAATGAGAACTAAAATTTAAAAATGAAGAAATAGAAGAAAATACAGAAATATTATTTGGCAATGAACTTGCAAATAAAGAAAACTTTGCACCTATTATAATTTCGGTACAAAGCGAAATTGAAAATGGTATAAGCGTTTCCACAGATAATAATAAACTTTTGGACTTCTCTGAGGATGATGACGATAGTGTAAAAGATCCAAACTATGACCGTGACTCTTCTAGCTCTTCGAGTTCTTACTCTTCCTCGTCTTCGTCTTCTAGTAAGAGTCAGTGTAGCCAGTGTTCTTCCTCGAGTTCAACCACATCAAGTACACCCATACATGTCCAACAAGAAGTGAACATAAACGTACAATGTCATGGTTATTCTATGACGAATTCTACTAACAAATCTGATAGACAATTCGAAAGGAAAAACGTTATCAAGAAAAAGATTGCGAAACGAAACAAATTGGGAAAGAAACAAAGTAAAGCGATTAAGAAATGCTGGAAAAGAGTATGTATCAATGGGAAAGCAAAAAAAGTAATTCCGGCAAAGCATATAAAAGAAGCGTGTGGTGAAAAGTGCATCCACAAATGCAATACAAAAATTACTAAAGCACAACGACTAACAATATTTGAAGAATATTATGCCTTGAGTGATCTAAATCGAAAACGTGAATTTATTTCTCGTCACATGGAACCAATTCGTCCAAGATATATGGGTAGCCATGTAAAAAGAAATTTAAATTATGCATTCTATTTCACAATAGATGACAAAAAAAACGAGAATTTGCAAAAAAATTTTTAAATCAACCTTGGATATTAACGATAGGGTCATCCTGACTGTAAGAAAAAAGACAAGTGCCAGTGGCATGCTTATTGATGATGCTCGCGGAAAACACGGAAAGCAAAGAAACATTGATAGTAACGTGAAAGAGGGTGTCAGGGAACACATTTTTTCAATACCACGTATTGAAAGCCATTACCTGAGAGCACAGACTAGTAAGGAATACATAGAAGGGGGAAAGACCATAACCGATTTATATAGTGACTATAAAATGTTGTGCATAAATGAAGAACGACCTTATGTCAATTACCGCATGTATTCGGACATATTTAACAGAGAATTTAACATTTCGTTCTTCATTCCAAAAAAAGATCAGTGTAACTTTTGCTATTTGTATAATAATGCAAATAATGAAGAAAAGGAGAAACTAAAGAAAGAATCAATCAAAAAGAAAAGGATTTATCCAGGGTAGAGATGAATAACGACAAAGAGAAAGTGAATGAAATGTATATTGTTGCGTGTTTTGACATGCAAGCCGTGCTTCAAATTCCAAAGGGAGACATTTCCATATTTTATTATAAATCCAAACTAAACACGATGAATCTTACAATTACGGAATTTTCGAAGAATGATACAAACTGTTACGTCTGGCATGAGGCAGAAGGGGGCAAAGGTGCAACGGAGGTATGTTCCTGTGTTCTTTCCTATTTAGGAGAAAAGTCATCAAACTGTGATCCAAATGCCTTGGAAATAGTTTTATACAGTGACAACTGTGGGGCACAGAAAAATAATAGGTTAATTCATAGTGTTTACATAGTGTTTTTTTTAATCAACAAAATTATGTTATTACAGATACTTAATTGCTACACTCATGTACGCTGTCATGAAGTTCGGAATTAAAAGTATTATCTAAAAATTTCTCATTGTTGGGCATACTCAAAATATCGGCGATTCTACTCATTCTCTTATTTCTCTTATTGAAAAACAAGTAAATGCTACAAAATATTCTATATTTTCATTTTAATTTTTATTGAATTGTAGGTTACCCGATCCTTAAAGTCTGGTCCCATTTTTGTACCTGATCAATTTATAACACTTATTAGATTGGCTAGGAAAAAAGGAAATCCCTTTAAAGTAAAGGAACTTACTCATCGTGATTTTATCAATATCAAGCAGCTTGCAATGGATATTGGGAACAATTTTACAAAAAATTCCCATGGGGAACAAGTATTTATAAGCAATCTTAGAATAATCAAAGTAATGAAGTCGCATCCATGGCAATTTTTTTATAAAACATCATTTAATGACGTAGATTTTAAAATTGTACAGGTAAAGGATTCAAAACCTAAGAAAGCGACCAGGCAAACAAGGCAAGACAGCTCCTCAAGCCACTCAACAATTCTTTTGTCAAAATTGACAAAGGCCTATACATCCAAGTTGACACTCAACGAAAACAAAAAAAATGATCTAAAGTTCTTGCTAGAGAAAGGGTATATCCCACATTATTATAAAACATTTTATGACTCCTTGTTGTGAAAATATTTAATAAATCTTCTCTATAACTTTGTTTGTTTTGGAGAAACATCCTATCATTATATATATATATAACCTACAGCTGTAGGCACCTTCTTTTAGTTTGTAATTATTTTGATTATACAGCTCTATGTATATTTTTCCTATATAGAAGGATGTGCTTAATAAGTGATAATCATTTAAGTGATTATCGCTTGGTGGCC